TTTTTATATATATATATAATCAAAGATGATGCCTGCTTAGGATTGACAACTTTGTTTTCTAATCACATTCACCTTTCAATATGTAAATAATGATAAGATAATTGACATAAAATATTTTATTAATAAACTTGTCTCAACACTGTAATAACAGTTTACTGCACTGCAATTAGTGAATTCCATTTTTTAACTCTGCAATTTAGTAATTAATTATTTCGTGTCATGTTCTAATTTTTTGCCTAATAATTGGAGCGCCCATGTTTCGCTATTGGTGGAGCAAATTTCATGGGAACCTTGATCATTCGATGATGAGATCTTCAAGGAGTCATTTTAATTTAAAATTTTAAATAAAAACTCTATAAGATCTCATTATTGTATTGTATTAAAAATCTAATTAAAAATAAAGATTATAGGATTTTAATCCATAATCATTTATTTATTAATAAATTAATAACATGTTAAATAATCATACCATACAATACCATGTGCCAAATAATTTATACCATAGCTATAAGATTAAGTCATGTCCAAGACTTGGATTCCGAGTTACATAGATGAACTTACAAATCGATTACAAATCGACAAGTTAGATCTAAATTTATTTATTTTTGATAGAATAATGTTATTTTAAATATATTTTTTTAAATAAAAATAATATTATTTTGAAAAAAACATTTAATAAATAAAAAACTAAAATAATATTGTTTTTTTAAAAAATACTGATCGAGTTTTACCTGGACCGGAGAAATACCCATTGGATCATTGAGTTTAAGCAGGCAAACTCCTCGGTCATTTCAAAGATAAACACTGAAACTAAAGATGACAAGAATTACACAGCGAGCGAGCGAGCTAGCTAGCCCGAGCTGAAACTATAACTATGATTTAAAATGATCCAGAGTAAGGTTTTTATATTAATCATAAACAGGGATGAATGAGCTTCATCAACTATTATATCCCGAAGAAATCTTTACATGATCACGCTCGCCTATGGTGAGAAGGACCTGGTGAAGGAGGCACAAAAGCACAAGTAAATGTACACTGAGTTGACAAATGACAGCAGGCAGTGAAGTTGGAGCAATAAAGAAACGAGAGGAAGGCGTAGAATACAAGCGATAAACACGGGAGAGCTTCAGTTTTGGATTTGGTGGCAACTGGCAAGTGTGAGTGAGTGACTGACCCCTTTCTTTGTCTTGGACGTGTCTTGACTCTCGTGCATGTATGCCCTAGCTAGCCCTGAGCTTTGTAACTTGAAATCAGACCTCTTCCTCTCCTCACTTTCTTGAAAGGTAAAAAAGAGATGGACTTGGCAAGTGAAAAGATACGAAAGACATCTATTTAGTCGAGGGAGAGAGGTGTCTGATGTTTTTCACCATTGTCGAGTAAAAGAATGACATGAATTATTGCAGATTCATGTTATCTTCGAAAGTCTTTGTTTACCCTGACGAGTCATTGGCTGCATCGATCCTTGCATTGAATCAATATCATTTTAGGATTTTAAATATAAATTATGATAGTATTATTTTAGATTAAGATTTTAAAAAAATCAAGCAAGTCTTCAATCTCAAATTAGATATAACATACAAAACAAAGAGTTTTTTTTTTTCTTATTCATGTTGTTCTTAAACTTCTTCATTTCGAAACAGTAACTAATAAAACTACAGGAATAAAAACTAGCATTGAGATCAACATAGTGCGCGGGGGAGTGTTTCCAGGGAATTTGAAAGCCCCAGCGTGGAGGTGGTGCGCAGTTGAATGGTACAAGAACCTCCACAGAACGGCACACTTGACTGCCATATAAGATTCCAACAAAGCAACTACTGACCCCTCCATTTGACTCCCATTATTATATCATATTCTCTACACAACTGTCTTCACTTTTCACAGCCAGCACTGTCTCCAAAGTTAAGGCCTCTCAAGCTAAGAAGGAGATAAGTTAGTGTTGTCACATGCAATATGCCGGTGGTGCTGGGCCATCAAAAACTAATTATGATCAAGTAGTGAGCATGAATTTGCCCACCATCGAAGGTTGGAAGCCATTGATGCTTGTTGGTCGCACTTGTCATCAAGAGAACCTTAATTGGTTTCAATAGTTTTATACAAAAATGGCCAACAATGAACCAAGATTTCATCAACCCATCAACCTCTCATCATGTTGTTTTTTATGACCAGAAAACTCTCTCAGAGCCCAAGTCCCGAAAGACCCTGGAGAGTCCTTTATGAACTCTTTATTGAACTGGAAGTCTGGATCAAAGATAAAAACGTGACCTACTCTCATCAACCCACCATGCTAGAACAATATAGCTTTACAGTTTATACAAACTGCTCAAAATTCTTTTTTCTTTTCATTTCCTCCCATTTTTTCTTTCAATTTTATCAATTTCTTTCCCTTAATTTCATCATCAGTTTTTTTAATCAGTAATTTGAATTGTTTTTATCAAGTCGACTGAATCACGTAAGAAATTTTTTTATATAATTTAATTTTAAATTTAATCTAATTAAAAATTCAAATTAAAAGATTTAAAAACCCAACCACATTAAATAACACTGTAACATAAATATTTTCTGTTATATTTAATTTTTCTAATATAACCTCTAATAAACTATTAGACCTAAGACAATAAATAATGTTCCATATTTACATCCTTATCTTCTGATCTACTCCCTTCAAACCCTAATTTCTTGAGTGGTAACATCACACGAATGAAAGATAATGAAGTGAGAAAAAGCATGATGGTAATTTTTAAGCAGCCTTTTGGTTTATTATTAATTGTCTACAAGCTATCTTTTCATTACATATTATTTTTTATATTAATAATCTTTTTGGGAGAAAACTTAAAAAAAGGACCCCAACTATGAAGGTAATCTTAATTTTGTCACCAAACAAATTTTTTAATCAATTTTGCTCCCATGTTTTTTTTATATTCTCATATTTCATCATGAACACCCTTTAATTGAAACCACTTTGTTTTACAAGAAAATTAATATTTTCTACTAAAAATTCTAATAGAAGATCCTACTTGAAAAATCAAAATTATTTGAACGTAAAATCGATACTACCTCAATAGTAAATCTTTTTCTAAATTTTCCCCATTTCTTTTTAAAAAAGTACTATCTATCTATCTATCTATCTATATATATATATATATATATATATATATATATATATCCGTGTGTGTGTGTTAAATGATATAAATTTTCTCTTAGAATCACATTTCAAGCTTTTAATCCATTTATTTAGTATTTCACCAAAAATATAAATATTAAAGGAAAACAATTTTTTTTTTATAAATAATATATTCATTCTAACAAATATTTTTAAAATTATAAATAATTATAAGTACTCAAATCACGTGGAACACAGCAAATATCACAAGGTTGTATAAAATCAAGAATTAGTTTTAAAAAATAAAAAAATACTTAAAAAAATATATTAGGCCAATTTGATCATGACTGTGATTATAGCTTTTAAGTGTTTTGATAATATTTTAAAAGCTAATATCACAGCCACTTCCATGTGTTATCTGCAAAAGTTATAACTTTTCAAAAGCCACAATGACAATTAAAAGCCATAGCTTTTCCAAACAGATCCTTAGTCTAGGCATTTCTAATTTAAAAAAATAAAAAAAAAATGCAAATGACATGCCTTCTGCCATAGAAGGATACATGTCTCCTGAAAAAAAAAAAAACTTGCTGCTGCCAGTTTTGGCCCTCAAAACCCAATTGTTTCACCATTTTTCACCCCTAGTAGAAAATAATCCCAGAGTCTTTTAAAAATTTATTTTTAATATCAAAATACATTTTAATCAATTAAAAAATTAAAAAAACTCAAGAAAATTAAAATTTCAATTTATATTTTTGAAATTTGATCTTTTTAGGTACCCATTATGATAATCCATAAATACCAATATTGAAAGTTTTTGTTGCCATAATAAGGAATGATGGAGTTGACCCTCTCCTCCCTCTCTTATATGTAGTTCTCTCTCTATACAAAAATAAATTATAAATAACAAAATATAAGAAAAAAAGACTAGTTGCAAAGCTGATGAATATCCAACTTTTGTAATTATTAAATCACTAAAATTATAAAAATACTATGAATAGTTTTAATAAATCTGTATAAATAGTGAAAATTATATATATAAAAAAACTATTTTAATATCAAAACTTATATTTTTAGGTGAGATTTTAATATATGATTTATATAATTTTCTAATATATCACTACAAGTAAAATTTGACTTAAAATTCATTATCTTATATTTAATTTTTATTAAATAAAATGAAGATGATAAGGTTTGAACTCATGATTAATTTTAATATCAAAATTCTAATACTATATTAAATAACTATTTTACCACTACATTTATAATTATATTAATTCATGCTTATGTTGCTATTTTTGGAATAATGGAGATTTCCATTTCCATTTCAAAGGTGATAAGATCATGGGCATAACTAACATCATGGATCCAATTTTCTCATTAGTTTTTGTACACGAAAATTATTAAAATTTCGTCCTAGGTATGAAAAATCGTCAGGTTTGCCTGAAATATTGTCATCTAAGCATAACAAAATCTTAGATTGCAAAATTAGACTAAAATGCAACTAAACTGACGAAATTAATCTTCAAATTTGATGCCCAAATTGGCGTAGATGACATAAAGGGGTGCAGTTGAAGAGGATATGCTGGCTCTTTATTCACCTGGGCATCTTGCTCAAATGCGACTCGTACGTACGTTGTCTAGTTAGGCTGGACACCATGGCATGGTTACTGAATGTATAGAAATGGTAACTTCCTACTCAATCCAACAAAATGCACACCATCATTCTAAACCCTTTAATGGAAAATAAATCCTTGAAGTCCAATATATCCTGGAAAAAAAGAAAGCAAGAATCCTGACGACGACGACAAACAGAATGTGATAGCCATAATATATATGGAATGAAGACTGATTACAATAGCCCTTTTGTTCTTGATAAGCCATTGGGAAAAAATTCCAAGAATCAAAGAGGTAGTTTTGCAAGCCAGCCATCTTGGTCGATGAAAGATGGCTTGGAAAACAATTGGTGTTGTCCTGTTGATGGCTTCCTTACCCATGGAACACGCTTCGATTTATTAGACCCTGGTCCCTTACATTTAACCTCCACATACGTGAAATTCTCCCTTGAAATCAGAAAATCAAGAAAAATCATGATCAGATGCTAAAAATAAGAAACAGTCGAAGAGGTCTGAGTTCGAATCCTATCTAAATGTTATATATAGGTGCGAGACAAACTTACTCTTGCCCTGCGTAACCCCAAGCATTCCACCCCAGAGGATCAACCACTTTTGAGAAGTATGAATCTTGAAATATTACTCTCGAGTATGGTCTATAGGCTCTTCCAAGAAATGCTCGAACACCTTTAATTCCAGAAATAGTGCATCCACTAAATACAAAACCGCTCGGATCATTAGGAAACTCTCGACCTTGGGCTGTTATGACGCCATTACTGGTAACATTTATCGAGCAACCCTGCACGAATCATGGGATAAACATTTTGAATCAATAATTTTTCTAATAATTAATAAAGTCTAGATCTTTGATATGCCAAATTTCTTCTAAATAATTTCATTTGTGCTGCACATGGTATGAAATTTAGAGCATGCTCTACTGTAACCAGGTGAAATCGTCTTGCATGTAGCATAATTTATTAATCGTGGGAATTCAATGTCGGAATTGATTTTATAAAACATGCAAAGCGTCTTTTGAGAGAAAATTAAATTTGAAGTCCGCTAAAATTCGAGATTAAGAACATTTCTGGACTTTCTAATTCAACATGAATGTCAACATATTTTTAAAAAATTATTAGAAGTAAATCACAAACTATCCCGAAAGAAATTTTAAATAGAAAAGATTTCAAATCTAAAATAACCTTGAAGATTGGATAATGGAATTATAAACTTATGAGTTTGGGCTTGAACTTGATTAATAAAAAAATATTTTGTTATCAAGTATATATTTGATTAATAATTTTTTTACCCCCTTACATGTCTTTGTGAGGGCATGAACCAATAAACAAATTATGTCATAAAAATAAATGTATTTATGAGTAATTTATGAGCTATGAATATTCATTATAATTATGACATAAATAAGTGTTTTGGATCGGTGAAAAGTACATTTATAATGTTTTTGAGTTCTTTCCTCTCTTTGTTATTGGTTTTTTTTTTCTACTTGTTCTTTCTACTTTAGGGTTTATGTTTGGTTTATTTAAAGAGATATTTGATATAATTCTTTTGAGTTTATTGAATTTTATTTAGGAAAGCACCAGAAGGAGGAGTTCGAATTTGAGGAGACATTGAGGTTAATCTTTTTACATTAAGTGTATGTATGCTATCTTTTTATAATGATTGTAAGATTGTTATATTTTTATATGTTTATACAATTATAAACTAAATAAATAGATTCACCTTTTTAATAAACCAATCATTTTATTATTAATGGAAAATATTAGTAAAAATGTTGCCTTCTAACAAAATATAAAATAAAATCCATCCATAACTTCGCGTGGAAAGATTATTCCATGCAACTCTTACCTCATAGAAAGATTGACCAGCACCAAATATAAAATCTACTGCTCCTTCAATGTAGCAGTTAAAGAAGTGATGCCGGCCTTGGACATCCCACAATGTATCTTGAACTCCCAAGAAAGCACAATCATAGAAAGCTGATTTATCACCATAAATCCGTGCAGAAAGTGCTGGGGCTACTCCAACTCCAGGTATCTTGATTCCATAGTTGATATTTTGCTTGAATGGAAGGTTATATGAATTCTGCATTATTGATAAACAAGCAGGAAAATTTCAGCTATTTGAACAACATGATGATGTTGTGGATATGATCTATATTTATTATTGTTTCTTGTGTTCTTAATACCAAAAGGGAAAAAAATATAAAAAAAGAAACTGGATATATTATCACAAAAAAACTGTACACGGCAAAAGCATTTTACCTTGAAGGTTATGCCCTTCGCTACAATATTGCTTGGTGATGAGGTAAAAGTAGCACTAGTATCTGTGCGTTCATGTGCATTATAAGTAATCGTTGTTAGGGTACGATCTCTTCCTTCCAGAAAAATACATGGCTTGTCATCTGGTATTGTCACCTGTTCTCTGCACATTGTTATCAACCATAGTGTATCCATAAGGGCATGCTTTTCTTAAGGAGAAAATTTCTTTGAATTATGACATACATGCATGTAATGCCATGGATATGGAGATTTTAAAAAAGCAAAGGTATAGTTAGAGCATATGCTAATGGGAGTAAAGAAGAGATATTACATGTAGGTGCCAGGATTGATTCGAACTTTGATCCACCGATCGTTATTTATTGGAATGGAATCAATAGCATCTTGGATTTTTATGAAATGCCCTTTGCCGGATTGATCAACAACTACGGTCTTTCGAACCTTCTTTCCTCTTCCTGGTTTACAATCAATAGCTTGAGAGTTGCTCGAGGAGATGGTGATGAACAAGATGACAATGACATTAAATAGTGGCTTTTGCATTTTTTGGGAAAAATGGAGAGTTGAAAAGCTCTAATAAAATGTTACAATGGTGAATCTATTGTGGTTGCCACAGCATTCTTGAGCATATGTAGTGACATTCTTGCTCTGTGTTGCCTTTTTAAGAATGCTGAATGAGATTCACATGGCTCGAGTCAAGCATTATGATTTTCGACGATTTGATTCTCTTTTATTAATTTGTGCTAAATCTAAGTTTTCTAATTAATGCACATAACCATTATCATTTCGAATCCTCTAAATTAAATTCATTAAAAAAACTATTTCTTGATTTCAAATAAGAAAACAAATTGGAAAAAACATAATAATACAGAATAGATAAAAAATAAATTTGTATGTAAATTAAGAAGTTTGATTATTTCCTTATTGATTTTGATAAAATTAATTATGACGATGAGAAACGACAAATATTAAGAAGTAAATTTCAATTTCCAAAAGAAATTCATAATGGAAGACCAAAATTTAAGCTTCCATTTCTATATAGTATAGAAGCTAAGGTTTAGGACTATTAAGCTCTTCAGGTCTCCGTCTCGCTATGGTCTCGAGTGTTATATAGTAAATTTACCTGTATATACACATATTTTATTTTTATATGAACTTGATATTTATTTTTATATTTTGTATTAACTATAAAATATTATCCAAATATACACCTGGAGAGATCTCACTGTTTATATCTATAATATTGAACGAACAAGGTTAATTAAACATAGATAAGACACAAATACTTGAAAAACTAACTATTAAATTATAAAATATATATGTATAATCCAGCGTGTTTCAGGTTAATTAATTATGATCTACTTAATATTCAACATTTTAAAATATTTATTATCTATTCGTTCACACATAGTTTAAACATATTATCTGATATGTGAAGTATACTCAAATTTCTTACTGATTAAAATAATTAAGGCCGAACTAAAACATTAATTATCCGGACCTACGCGTCTAATCTCAAAATCAACATTTGCGGTTCATTGAAAAACAATTTCATGGCTGTGAAACGCAGAGGTCAACTGCTGATACGCCTTGAGAAATATCTATCTATGTCAAGATCACAATATTTCCCTGATTTGTTTAAGCTCGTTCGTAACTTGATGAGCCAATAGACCTATATTAACAGCACTAGAAAGTGGCGTGAAACAAGAGGCAAGTGACTCGGGTCGGATTACAAAATATGATAAGCACACGAGTCGACAACCACAGCCAAAATCTTCCTTATCATCTAGTACCAAGAGATCTCTCAAAGTTAGTTTGGAAAACAATAACCCATGTAAGGCCATATGGTGTTATTACAAGATGTTGGTTGCAAATGCAAGGCCTAATAAGTGTACTTATCCTACATTGTTCAAGGCTTTGTAGTGCTGCAGAAGCAGCTGAAGAAGGGCGGGCAAGTGGAGATGTTCATATAAAAAGTGCTATGATTGACGGTCATATCAAAAGACGGTATTATAAGGAAGCCTCAGAAGTTCTTAATGTGATGCCATGAGAGGAAATCAGGCCTAGGAAATTTGTGTTGACTAGTGTGTTAGCTGCTTGTGCTAATGTGGGGCTCTTGATCAAGGAAGATGGATTCATGCTTATGTGAAGCAGAATTCAGTCTACTTTGCTGCTATGTTTGATACTGCTTTGATGGATATTTATGCGAAATGCGGGCGGCTTGATACGGCGTGGGATGTTTCTGAGAAGATAAAGAAAGACGTTTTCACTTGGAATGCTATTACTTGTGGGCTAGCTATGCATGGTAGAGCAGAGGATGCAATTAAGCTTTCCTTTAAGATTCCTTTAAGATGCAAAGACAGAAGTTTAGGCCTAACGGGATCACTCTTGTTGGTGTGCTAAGTGCTTTTGCTCATTCAGGAATGGGAGATTTTCAATTCTATGAAGGAAGTGTATGGTATTGAGCTTGAGATGGAGCATTATGGATGTGTAGTTGATCTCCTAGGAAGAGCAGGGCTCTTGAGAGAGGCAGAGGAGCTTATATATTTGATGCCGATAGAACCAAGTGCCGCTGCTTGGGGAGCGCTTTTAGGTGCTTGTAGGAAACAAGGAGATGTTGAATTAGGTGAGAGATGGGATGATGCTTTGTTATCAAACATCTATTCAAGGCTGGGAGATGGGATGGTGTAGCAAATGAGAGGAAACTATTGAAAGAAAAGAGGAGTCAAGACCTCTACTGGAATTAGTATGATTGATTTTGATGGTGTTGTCCGTGAATTCAGATGGATTGCATCCGCAAATGAGGAAAATCTACCTGACAATGAAAAATATGCTCAAGATGCTAGAGATAGAATAGTATTCACCCAATACACCTCAAGTTATATTCGATACTAAAGAGGAAGAGAAGGAAGCTGAACTGCAGAACCATAGTGAAAAATTTGCAATTGCTTCTGGATTCATTAACACAGCCAGTAACAGCAATACGAGTTAAGAAGTATTTAAGGATGAATGAGGGTCTGCCTTCAGGCTACTCTCTTGAGTCTATAGTCAAGAGATTGTCGCAATGGACCATGCAGCTACCGTCATTTCAGGACTGGAACATGTTCATGCAAGGATTTTTGGGGAGTTATGGAGATAGCTGAAGCAATCAAATAGCGGTGCAAAGAGGGGAGTTAGCAGCTGTACTTGTAAATGGAGGTAGCAGTTCCATCATCCTAATCCAGGTTCAGAAAAGATTATAATGCTCAAGTTTTTTCAATCAGGCCAACCAAATTTTCACATATCGAGTAGCAGACTTGGATATGATGATTGCGTCTTGAGCCATCATAACTATAATTACAGTAACTGACAAGTAATTTTTTGTTCTAATGTTCCATGATTAACAGTGGCAAGAAGTTCATTAGAATTTTTGACTGGAACCAGTTCAAACTAGATTTTACTTACTTATGCAGCAGAAATTAAAATCGAATGAAACTAGGATTCTAACTTGTTTATTTTCAATTTGTTACCAAGTATGGGAGAATGAATGTTACAACTGCGTAACTTTAGTCCAGCATACTGCTTATCATGCAGGTAATTTCAGGAGGCCTATTGAACCTACAAAGTTTGACACAACTGCTTAGTTGGATTTCATTTTTCAAGTTGTCCATTCTTTCAGCTACTAATCCTTGAAAACTAGAACTATAGCACTCACAAGCACACTAGTCATGGCCTTTATTCAAACATAGTATGAAGCACAGAAGCAGCAGGCCTAGAGGCAAGATAGCCATGACATATATATACGTTACATGAGTAACAAGAGCACCTTGCAGTTCAATACCATAGAAAAACTTAGCAGTGTAGACCACTCTATATGCTACAATTGCATCGCTTTGACTCATGATTGATCAACAACCTTTCTTAGGCTGGCAATCATTGGTAAAGGAATGGTGAGTATCAGTAGATGATCCAGAAGGATTGCCATAGTTCCCATAACTGCTGTTGGCCTCGTCGTCAGTGCTGCCCTTGTTGTCACCAGTAGAAGGGCTGCTAGTTGCATTATCATTATTGGTATCAGATGCTGGCACTGAGCCTGTCACTGGATTACCATAGGTGCCAACTTTTCCTGGTTGATTATTCGGCTTAACATCAGTTCCAGCATTGTTAATTGCATCTAATTTACCATCCTTCTGCACATGAGACAAAGGCTTATCATCAGTTTTTTCTGCCTTGATTTCCTTCAAAAGAAGCCTTCTAGCATCCACTTGAAGATCCAAGAATGCCAGACCTAGCACAAATAATACTGCGACGGTCGTCTTCATCATTAACCTGTTATTTTCATTTTCAATCAACAGCAGATTATCCAAGTATGCAGAGGTATTAAGATTAAAGAAGTAATTTACTTCCTAAACTGAAATTTAACTAAAAATGGTATTTCCACCCACTCTTACGTACCATATATCCCTTCTCTAGTGTGATCATTGGTTGATTAACATTGCTTCAAGGGAGCAAATTTATAGAAGAAACATGTTTATAATAATCATGATTAGTGAGAAACTAAGATTAAAATGTGAGCACAATGAAGTAGTGGAGTGATTACAAACTCACAATCTTCTGGCCTTATTGGTGAGGTCACACTCAGGTGTGCTTGAAAGGGGCCACCAGATACAGTAGTAATAATGAACAAGGGTGAAAAACATATCAGATAATCTGAATAAAGGGTTGAGATTTTTACTTGGTTTTGTTTATATTGAGGCTTAATTATGTTTGCGTTGTAGGGCTCAGCAAGTAAGTGCAGCACCAAAATATACAGTTTGTGCACTATGAATCTACCAGCTAGCAATGGCATGTTAATTGGTTGATGGCATAACAATAAGATCATTAATAATTTGAATACAGACAAGTATGCATCCTGCATATGCTCTAGGTAAATTGTAATTATGGGATCATAAAGTTGATCTGATTGCTAAGATAAAGTAATCTAAGGGGTAAACATGGAGCTAAAAATTGATGTAAAATGTTGAGAAAATCAGGCTCTCTCAAGCTGAATTGGACCTGTTTGGGTTATCTAAGCTCATTACAACCCAACTTACCAAATAAGTATGGGGCTAACCCTAGCATAGCATGAGCTCATACACTTAACCAGCCAAGTCCTTACACTTAACCATCCAATAGTGTATTTGAAAATATTTTAGGTATTTTTAAAATATTTTTTGTTTAAAAATATATTAAAAATATATTTTTTATTTTTTAAAATTATTTTTAATACCAGTATATAAAATAATCTAAAAATATATATATAAAAAATTAAATTTAAACAAAAAAAATAATCAGATTTTCATATTTGGAATGAAATTTCAAAAAGCATACCCTTTGATGGGTCAAGAAGAGTGGTCACCAAATGGATAAAGCACTAAATTATTCCAAGCCCCACAAATAAACCTAGCAAAATCAAAACCATTTCTCCACCACTAAAAAGATAGAGAAACGAAAGTCACTCACTTCTACCAATTTCCCTTAAAAAAAAAAAAATCCAGAAGGGACCATTTTTTCATAATATAAAACATTAAGGATTAATTTTGTTCTAACAAAAGCTAGTAAACTAAAACAGGCCACCGAGTACCCGCCACTCAAAACAGAATCAGTTTAACCACCAAAAAAGGGAAAAAAATGAAAGGCCAAGCCATGGCCATGAAACTACTATCCCCTCCATCTTCTCTATCAAGCCCCAAATTTGCTAAATCTCTTTTCTTTTTTACTTCCAATCCAAAAGGGTCAAAACCCATCTCAAGTTTAGTCCAACTTTTCCAATTGAGGTCAAAAAGTTTAGTCTTTACTAGAAAAATGGAAGTGAAGGCATGCGTGAAGGTGGAGCAAAAGAATGAAACTGAAGTAACAGGAAATGAGTGGGGTAAGGTATCTGCTGTGCTTTTTGATATGGACGGAGTGTTGTGCAATAGTGAAGAGCCTTCAAGAATGGCAGGTGTTGATGTTTTTGCTGAGATGGGAGTTGAAGTTACAGTGGACGATTTTGTGCCATTCATGGGCACAGGTAATATATATAGGTCTTAAGTTCGAAATTTTGTGATTTAATACAGTAATTATTTCTCCTGAGATAATTAATAAAAATAATGTCTTTGGATATGTGGTTTTAATCGGGGAGGATTTCAATTTCAGCAATTCTTTTTTGTTTCTTAAAAAGAACCCAAACGACTTCTCATTTGATATTTGGAGGACTTGTTGTTCCATTTTTTCAATGCTTATCCTTTTATTTCTGGAATTTGGTGTTGGGTGACAGAAATCTGATTGTTTGAGATGTAAATTTGATGGGAAGTAGTTGTCTTTTTAACTGCTGACTTTCTTCAATGTATTAGGCGAAGCAAACTTCTTAGGAGGTGTTGCTAATGTAAAGGGAGTCAAGGGATTCGATACCGAAATGGCGAAGAAAAGGTTTTTTGAGATATATCTAGATAAGGTGATTAATGCGACGCACCATCCAAGTTTGCAATGCAATATGAATTTGTTATATGATGCCTAAAGTCTTTTCATATCTTGCAGTATGCAAAACCGAATTCCGGAATAGGATTCCCAGGTGCCCTTGAACTCATTACTCAGGTATGAAATCCCAATGATTCAGAATTCGCATGATGAGATTGTATCGAGGCTATATTAACATAGTGCCTGCTGTACGACAGTGTAAAAACAAAGGCCTGAAAGTTGCTGTTGCATCTAGTGCTGATCGTATCAAAGTTGATGCTAATTTAGCAGCTGCTGGTTTACCAGTATCGATGTAAGCTTACCTATTGTTTGTCCAGTTTCTCTAGTTCTTCGAATAGCTATACAATTCCATTCTTTACATTTTGCTGATAATCACTGAAATGCTTAGTACTCAACGAGTTGTATTACCACCAAAATAACAAACTCAGGAATGTCAGATTAATTCCTCACTCAAGAAGTTAAATTTTGTTTTCTAAAGTAAAATTGAACTTAAGATATCTGGGCAATAGAGCAGTTACTCCATACATCTACCTTTATTGTGAAAGAATATTTGAGAGATGATTGTGTCTGTATGAGTCAAGAATTGGAGGATTTCTGTTCTGATTATTTGTTAGCGGCTTTTTATCAGGTTTGATGCTATTGTATCAGCAGATGCTTTTGAGAATTTGAAACCAGCTCCTGACATTTTCTTGGCTGCATCAAAAATCTTGGGTGTGCCCACTAGTGAGGTAATCTAGCTGATCCTGGGTTTAATCTTCTCTACTAAGGTGCAAGAATTATCAACTCAGAAAAGTCATGGCGTATAATTAGCATAACAGAAATTTTTTTTTTTTTTCTTTTAGACATTGAATTTTATTAAGGGAAAAAGAGAGAACAAAACAGAGGATAAGATATCCTCCTTGAAATGAGACAGCTTAACAAATTTCTGAATAAAAAAAGAGTTATAGGTTAGGGTAGGTGTTATTCTCTTTGATACCCATCACATTTTGTAGAGGATTCCAAAACTAGTACTGCCTGTCACCACATACTACTTTTTCTTGTTGATAGTTTATTATTGTTGTATCTTCTTTTCTTATTTCAATGGTGGTTAGCATATTTTTTCGTGTCTATTTTGGTCATATTGATGGATTTTTGCCCACCTTTTCCTAGTGTATTGTCATTGAAGATGCACTAGCTGGAGTACAGGCTGCAAAAGCTGCACAGATGAGGTGAAAATGTCAAATACTTGTGTATTTGGTGTCCTTGAGTTCTGATCATTAAATTCCTCCTTTTCTTATTCCAATGATACCATTCTGTGCTTCTTGCAGATGCATTGCTGTCACCACTACATTGTCGGAAGAAATTCTAAATGATGCCAGTCCATCTCTTATCAGAAAGGAGATTGGGAATATTTCGCTTGATGATATTCTCGATGGTGGATCTGGTGGCTATAGTATGTAGTCCTGAGAACATTCCGAAAATGTCATTTGTAACCATCAATAATGTAGACTTTTCAAGCTGCTTTGGTTCCATATTTTAAGAACCATGACTGTAATGATTGGAATTCATTTTTCATCAAAGATACAGTGCTTCAACGAGCACAATGAATTCAGTTTTATAATTGGCTTTGGATTTATCTTAAGATTGCAGATAATGACTTTTTCCTTGCTGGATAGTAGTTAAGGTTAATTTTCTTGCTGAATAAGATCTGATAAAGACATACGATTGCAGATGAGAAGATGCAGGGACCTCAGGTTCTGCACACTTCTGCACAAACTTCAGTAGCAATGCTCGAAGAAAGAAGAGAAAATGGGTCAATCCTTAACCAAGTTGCTACCAATGACAATGTTTCCTATATTAAGGGGTAAGAGAGGTCCTATTTATTTGAAATATTGGATTCATTTTCGAAAATAAAATAAAATAAATGAAATCTATGTGGCACCTTCTTCATCTTAATGACAAGCAGTGGATCTGAAAAACAAAACCACGGACTGCTGAAACAATTAGCTAGTCTTATGGCTCCCTTGCAATGTGTTTTAGATTATTTGGAGTCTGTTTGGTTCATACCTTAATAGGAAAACTTTCAAACACTGCAGTTTTGATGGCACAAAACTTAAACAGTTGTCCAAAATGATTCAAAATAAGGTTTGGCTCACAATGCTTTTAGGAAGCTTTCTTCCATTCATCTCATTTAATTTTCTAAATCAGTAGCTTTTGAATGTGAAATTCTTGGTGGCAAGATGTATCAAAATGATTTATTTCCAACAATGAAAAACTATTTTATAACAACTTCAGCTTGAGGATGCAGAAATAATTTGTGGACAGGTTGCAGGGTTCACGGCGTGATATAGTGAGATATGGCAGTTTGGGTATTGCTCTTTCTTGTCTGTACTTCACCATCACAAATTGGAAGGTAATTGACATAACAAAGAAGACCGTTACAGAAGTTGTATTCATCAGTTGAATCAATGTCAATCACTACAGTGATCATTTGAATAACCAGGAAAATGTAGCTTTGAATTTTAAAGTATTTGGTTGTTATAGATAGAATGAATTTTTAAATTATTACAGTCTTCTTGTCATTTTACTTCTTTTCACACATCTCTGTCAGCACCTTTTCAGGCAATGCAATATGCTTCACCTAAAGGTATATGGAACAAGTTGTTTGGAGTTGATACCCCATCCTTTGAACAGAATGAAAGTATAGGTATATTTCATCCTATATGATTTCATCCACCATGATATTTGTTTTCTGTATTTTGTGTTCTGATCTTCTCGGGATGCACTATGTCAAATCATGAGACATCCCTTACAGTATCCATGGTTGTTTCGAGTCTTTCTTGAGTAATAATTATATCCAAGATGAGAAATACAAACTCATTTAACTTTGTTTGTTTTAGGCAACTTAAAATCTTCAAGAGTCAAACAGTTTGTAAAGTATATATCTGATCTAGAAACCAAGTAAGTAACAAAGCCACAAGGTTTATTAACTAAATTAAATTTTCATGGCAATTTCTGTTCACCAAATTTCTGTTTAATCTGTCTTGAATTTTTTATCTTT